TTCTGTGCTTGATGGTACAATCTTCCTGTCAGCCAGGCTCCCATCACTCCCTTTCCCCCGAGGACATTCCTACTTTAAGTGCAGGAAGCTTCATATTTTATAGTGTGCTAACCCCAGTGTACCCCCAGCCACCCACTTCTCCAGATGTTCCAAAGGGTGTTACAGACCCATGGAATTCTGGAGCCAGATCAAACCTTGTAGAGGTATGTGGCCCAACGCCTCATTTTATGTATAAGGAAATAATCCACTGAGATGAATGCATTTATGGATAAGGAAATAATCCATTGGAGATCAATGACATGATTATCTCTGTGATACACAACTGTCAGAGCAAAGTCTCTCCTCCCTGCCAACCAAAAAGTTCCACCTTCTACAGACGCGGGTGTGTGTGTGTGTGTGTGTGCGTGCGCCAGGGATACAGCCTGTACAAATGCAAGTAGAGTATTTTAAGGATCGCTATAGCACCCACCTCCACAGCTTCAGATACAGGCGAGACGCTGTTGGTCTTCCTGGAGCCCACGCGGAACTTGGCAGCCTTGTAGATCTTCCAGTAGACGAACAGCACCACGCAGAGCGGCAGGTAGAAGGCGCCCACCGTGGAGAACACGGCGTAGGAGGGCTCGCGGCTGACCTGACACTCCTCGCTGCCCTCAGAGTACGTCTCCCCCCAGCCGAAAAGCAGCGGGGCCAGCGAAATGACAGCGGACAGCGCCCAGGTGAGCGTGATCATCACGTTGGAGATGCGCTGTCGAGCGCGGAGCGTGTACTCCAGGTGGCGGGTGATGGACCAGTAGCGGTCCAGGGCGATGGCCGTTACGTTCCAGATGCTGGCGGTGCAGCACAGCACATCGCACGCGATCCACAGCTGGCACAGCCGCCGGCCCAGCTGCCAGCGACGCCCAGACAGCTCATGCACCAGGCTGAGAGGCATGACCAGCGCGGCCACCAGCACATCCGAGACGGCCATGGACGCCACCAGGTTGTGTGGCACGCGGTGGAAGGTGCGGACACGCAGGATGGTCGCCAGCACCAGCAGGTTCCACGCGAACGTAGCCGCCACCAGAAAGCCCAGCAAGGTCAGAACAAGCACACCGAAGACAGAGAGCAGGTGCGGGCTGGGGCGCAGCAGGTCTTCTGTGCCAAGGCTGCCGTTGGTCTCCAGAGGAGAGGAAGTCAAGTGGGAAAAGGAAGTGAAGTTCACTGCCAAATCCATCTCTGGATTAGGAGCCGGCTCAGGGTGTGTGCAGAAGGGACATTCAGGAGGACTTAAGATGAAAGCAGCGCCCGGAGCCAATCCAGATGTTTGCACCCTCGGGCCAGCGGCGGGGTTTCTGGGAAGCACCTGCGAATTTGTCTTCAGCCTCCCACCGGTGAGCGAACCCGGGAGACGGTGTGGTGGAGAGGAGGGCGCTCCCTGGGCTATAAGCCGCGTTAACGATGGAGCCCTCGGAGGCTAGGAAAGCAGAGGCGAGGAGCTGGACTCGCGGCCAGCCCAGGCTGTCAACTGTCTCAGGACTCCTCACCTGGAGGAGACAGCGGTCTGATCGCTCCCATGTCCGCCCGAGCAGGGCAGAGCAGCCCCGCAGCGTGTGAGCGCCAGAAGGGCTGGTGCGTCAGAGCCGTAGCTCTCGCAGCGTTGCTTCCCTACCTGCCCCTACCCAGGCGGCCGCCTGCAGCCTCAGCGCAGTGCTGGGAAGCCAAGCGTTCCGGTACCTGCCTTTCGCTTTGCGCAGTCCAACCTCCCCACTCCGTCTGGGGCTGCGGATCAGAGCAAACGTTGGCGCGCCCACCCAGACTGCTTTATGGAGCACTACGTAACTCGGTCAGCTGATGAGGTCACCTCTCCCCGCCTCCCGGTTCCGGGAGCGCGCGTTTTGGCGCTGTCCGGGGTGCTGCTCTGGCCTCTCACCTCTGGGCCCGCAGCGCACCGTCCCTGTGCGCGGCGCAATCCTTGGTTCTGTGGGGCTTCTCCCCTCCCAAGGGCGCCGTTTGGTGCTGTCCATGGTTCTGCCACGATTTGCCTGAAATGACCCCCTGCGGGGAACAAGTTGACCAATGAACTTTTGAAATATCCTTTTAGCCACCTCCCACATCCGTCCCTCTAGGGGTGGTCGGGAGCGCTTGAGCGGTTTCTCAGTCCCGGTAGGTGCTTGTCTTCTTGTGGACTTCTTCTCCAGAGGTTTTTGTATGATTGCTTCCTTCTTACACAACACTGAGCTGCTTCTCTTAAGGGGCTGTTGTCCTTAAAAGAGAAAAGGCAAGACAGCAGTTACGGCTGCTCCCAGAGAAGGCTGAATATTGCGGCAGAACATTCATCTATTTCCTTGGAATTATAAAGAAGGCGAGACGTCTCTTCAGCAGGCTGTACTAAATTTGCTTCTCATGAGGGGAAACTTGCATGTAAGTCGTTAGAAAGGCTCCACCTCAGTGAGAACAGGAGGGAGCATCACCCACTCCCCCATCTGTGCATACTTACACACACACTATCCACAGCAGTGATTAAGTATCTAAAGCTCCTACCCAGATGTTGGGATTTAAAGTACTTCATGGAGAGAAAGCAAGATAGAGGAACTTGGGACAAAGAAAAAGATATCATAAGAGGGAAAGTAAGATGGCAAGAAGCATTTTTGTTAAAGTGCACACACAATGAGTGTCATGAAATCCCACATATTTACAAGTAAATCTGGGCATAAGTTATATAGCCACAGAAAATAAGAAACATTCATTTTTAAAGCTTTATTTTATATATTTAAAAGAGTTACAGAGAGAGGTAGAGAGAGAGAGAGGTCTTCCATCTGCTGGTCACTCCCCAGATGGCCGCAACGGCCCAAACTCTGCCAATCCGAAGCCAGGAACCCAGAGCTTCCTCCGGGTCTCCCACGTGGGTGCAGGGGCCCAAGGACTTGGGCCATCTTCTACTGCTATCCCAGGCCATAGCAGAGAGCTGGATCAGAAGAGGAGCAGCCAGAGACTAGAATCGGTGCCCATTTGGGATGCTGGCGCTTGCAGCCAGAGCTTTAACCCGTTGCACCTCAGCACTGGCCCAAAACCACCCATTGTTAAAAGATTCAGTTTCTAACAGAGAATGCACTGAGAACTTTACATGTACAGGCATAAACATAAGAAAGAACAAAATCACAGAAAATTGTATTCTGAGTCAACTAGTAATTTAGTACTTACTTTAGGCAACTTAGATTATTAAAGATATCTGAACAGAAGCATTGTAATATAAATTAAGGTTATTCCTGGTAATCTCAGATTGATGCTGTATTTTTCTATTTATTTGAATGACTAAATTTATTTTTTAAAAAGATTTATTTCTTTGAAAGATGGAGTTACACGGGGAGAGAAGGAGAAGCAGAGAGAGAGAGGTCTTCCATTCACTGGTTCACTTCTCAGTTGGTTGCAATGGTCAGAGCTACACCAATCTGAAGCAGGAGATTCTTCCAGGTCTCCCATGTCTGTGCAGGGCCTCAAGGATTTGGGCCATCTTCTACTGCTTTCTCAGGCCATAGCAGAGAGCTGGATCAGGAGTGGACTGACATGGATGTTCAGGAACCCGAAGTGCCAATGTGGTCTCACTAAAGGAGAAATAGCTATTAGGGGCCAGCTGATGAATGGAGGCCTGGGCTAAATGCAGCTCACGGTGAATGCACTGGGTCAGTGGTCCCACAGGGTATACTTCTCCAGTGCTCAAGGATGCAATTGGGATGATTCCGAACCCCACACTGAATATTGTTATAATATGGAAGGCCAAGAGGGAGCCTCCAAAAACTTATTTTGGCAGCCACAGTAATAAATCACAATAACACTGAGGAGAATCTGAGGGGAAATCACAGAGATGATTGCTTCTCTATTTTACCCAATTTGCCCTGCAAAACCTGATTGGATCTTATCAGATGACAGTGATGCACAGAGAATTTAACCAAGTATTCACCACCACAGTGCAGGATCTGCAGGACCTGATGAATTGGCATCGCATTTGCTAGAGTGGATGAACACAGCATTCAGTACAGAGCTTGCCATTGCAGATATGGCTACCGACTCCTCTTCCACACCTGTCACAAAGGAGAATCAAAGCAGTTTGAACTAACTTAGGACAGACAGTGGCAAGCATTGATGTTCTTGCTCTACAACTGTGTAAACTTTCCCCCTCTCTGTTATAATATAGTCTGAAGAACCCGGTATCATGTAAAAGGTCAAAGAGCAATGGTTTTCATTGTGGTCCATGAGTCCCTAGGAATCTCCCAGGCCCTTTCTGTGGGACTGCAAGGTCAAAGCAATCTTCACAGTGATACTGAGATATGGTTTGCTTGCCTCATTGTGCTGACACTCCTTGGTGATGATGAATAAACCTGTGAGTGCTAGCACAGATCATTGCAGTGATAGGAAATTGTGACAGCACTCATTGCCATTCTTCACTTCTGTGCAAACACAGGGGAAAAAGAGAGAAAACTGCCAGTTTCACTTATTCATGTCCTTAATGTGCCACTGCCTGGTCTTCTGGTTAAGATACCAGAATCCCTTATTGGGTGCCTAGGTTTGAGTACCAGTTCTGCTCCCAATTCCAGCTTTGTGTTAATGCACACCTTGGGAGGCAGCAGTTAATAGCTCAAGTACTTGGATCCCTGCCACCCCTGTGGGAGACGTTGATTAAGTTTCAGGATCCTGACTTTGCCCTGGCACAGCCCAGACTGCTGCAGGTATTTGGAGAGTGAATTAACAGAGAAGAGATATCTGTCTGTCTCTAACTCTGTATCCCTTTCTCTGTCTCTCTACCATTCAAATCAAACAAAATAAATAAATAAACATAAATTTTAAAAGAATGTCTTTAATGAAACAATAAAGTTATTGATTATATTAAATCTTAACATTTGCATGTACATTTTTTAATATTCTGTGTAACAAATTAGAAAGTATGGGCTGGCACCATGGCTCAATAGGCTAATCCTCCACCTGCAGCACCAGCACACCGGGTTCTAGTCCCAGTCAGGGCTCCGGATTCTGTCCCAGTTGCCCCTCTTTCAGGCCAGCTCTCTGCTGTGGCCCGGGAGTGCAGTGGAGGATGGCCCAAGTGCTTGGGCCCTGCACCCCATGGGAGACCAGGAGAAGTACCCGGCTCCTGGCTTTGGATCAACGCGGTGTGCCAGCCGCAGCACACCAGCCGCAGCGCGCCGGCCACAGTGCGCCGGCCACGGCAGCCACTGGAGGGTGAACCAACAGCAAAAAGGAAGACCTTTCTCTCTGTCTCTCTCTCTCACTGTCCACTCTGCCTTTCAAAAAAAAAAAAAAAGAAAGAAAGAAAAAAGAAAAAAATGAATGAAGTGAGCCTTCACTTCAAGGAAAACAATTGACAAAATTGGAGCTCTCAGGGGCTGGCATTGTGGCACAGCAGGTTAAGCCACCACTCGGGATACCCACATCCAATATTGGAGGGCTGGTTTGGATCCCATATACTCTGCTTCTGAACTAGCTCCCTGCAAATGCACATGGGAAACAGCAGCTGGTAGTTAAAGTGCTTCCATCCTTGTCACCTGTGTGGGAGACCCAGAAGGAGCTCCTGGGCTCCTGGCTTCCTCCAAGGCAGTCATTTGGGGAGTGAACCAGTAGGTAGAAAATCAGCATTTGGAAAAACTCCTATCTACCATTGTGAAGTGGACATCTCCCCAGTACTTAGCTTTCCAACAAGATGGATGCGATATTCAAACTGTGATGGTTTATATTGCAATACATGAGATTCCTCAACAGCTGGGTGATCTGGATAATTCAGGGATCTAATGTTATTCAAATGGCCAGGAAATATTGCCACAAAATCGTAAGTGGGAAAAGGCCTAAGACCAATGAATTACAGCCTAGCAGGCACAAAAAGTTCATGGTATGATTTCAGATTTCACATTATAACAAAGCTTTAAGAAACTGCCACTAACTGAATTTTAACACAGCAACACAGAAAAATATCCCTAACTATCTGAAAAAACTATTAAAATACTCCTTTACTTTCCAGCTAGCTCGGTGTGAGGATGGATTTTCCTCACAAACTTAAACCAAAATAACATATCACAACAGATGGAATGTAGAAACAGATATGGGATTCTAGTTCTCTTGAAGAGATGTGGAAAAAACTGTTAAATAATGCCACTTGCATTTTTTTTTGTTTTGGAAAATATAGCTGTTTTTCATAAAGAAGTATCATTTATATAAACTTACAGTGGGTTTATTGTTTTATTTTAATGAATTAATACTACACAAATATGTTTAAGTTTTCTCCATTTCAATGCATGTCCTAGTAACTATAAATAGATGTAACTCATGCAAAGAAAGCTCTGTGGGATGCACAATAAATGTTACAGAATATAAAAGGATCCAGAGACAAAATGTTTGAGAAAACCTGTTCTACGCATTCATCATAACTGCATATTGGTCCACTGTGTTGATGCTGAATTTTAGTAGAACTGGACAAGTGAGAAGAAAAGTTGGAACTGTAT